AGTTTATGAAAATGGTAACAAAAAATAAAGTGGGAGTAGCTATACGAATATCACAGAGCATAGACTTTAAGTAAAAACTGTGACAAGAGACAAAGGACATTATATAATAACAAAAGGATCAATTCACTAAGAAGATATAATAATAATAAATATCCACATCCTATAGCCATATAAAATGTAAGGTTTTATAAGACATTATAGCTTCAAAATACATGAAGCAAAATTGGACAGAATTAAAGGAAGAAATAGTACAATAATAATAAAAAGACTTCAATGCCATATTTCAATGGATAGAACAATCAGTCTGAAGATACATAAGGAAACAGATGATGTTAACATTACTATAGGCCTAGAAGGCCTAAGAGACACTCACAGTCTTTGCTTCATATTAATAATAGAATAGGCACTCTGCTCAAGTGCATATGGAACATTCCCCAGGAAGGATAATATGTTAGGCCACAAAAAAGTCTTGGTGAATTTAAAGATATTTAAATCATACAAACTATCTTTCTGATCATAATGAAATGAAACTAGAAATCAATAGAAGGAAAACTGAACAAAACACATAAATATGTGAAAATTAAATAACACACTCTTAGACAACCAATGAGCCAAAGAAGAAACCTTTATGGAAATTAGAAAACTATCTTGAGTAAAATACAAATGAAAACACAACATACCAAAATTTATGGGATGCACCAAAGGCAGTGAGTGACAATAAAAAAATTTATAGCTGTAAATGCTTACATTACAAAAGAAGATTACAAATCAAAAATCTAAGTTTACACATTATGAAACTAAATAAAAGGGACAAACTAAACCTAAAGATAATAGAAAGAATAAAAAATGGAGATTAGAACAAATAAACTAAATAAAATGGAGATTAGAACAAATAAGACTAAAAAAAAAAAAACCAGAAAAAAAATCAACAAAGCCAAGAGTTTATTCTTTAGAAAGATCAACAAAATTGACAAATCTAGACTAAGGAAAAAAGGGTAAACTTGATCAAAATCAGAAATTAAAGGGGAAATACTTCTATTCATTTTATAGAAATAAAAAGGAATATAAGAATTGTATGTCAATAAATTGACAACCTAGATGAAATGGACAGATTCCTAGAAACGCACATATTTCTAGACTGAATCAGGAAGAAACAAAATATGAGCAGGCATACAACTAGTAAGAAGGTTGAATCAATAATCAAAAACCATCCAGCAAGGCAAAATCCAGGACTAGATAGATGGCTTCACTCTTGAATTCTACCAAACATTTAAAGAAGAATACACATTAGTCCTCCTTAAAATCTTCCAAAACAATGGAAGAGGAGAAAACAATTCCAGATTCATTCTATGAGGTCAGCATCATCCTGATACCAAAGCCAGAGATATCCCTGATGATTATCCCTGATGAATATTGATGCAAAAAGTCCTCAAATGCTAGCAAACAGAACATACATTAGAATGAGTAAACACCATGACCAAGTAGGATTTATTCGTGGGATGCCAGGATAGTTCAAAATACTAAATTCAAACCAAAATAATATATCATATTAACAAAATGATGGGGGAAAAGCCACATTATCATCTCCCTTAAATCAGAAAAAGCATTTAACAAAACTCAGCACCCTTTCATGATAAAAATTTTAAACAAGTTAAAAATAGAAGCAACTTTAACATAGTAAAGACTACATATGAAAAGCCCACAGATAATATCATAATTAATGGAGAAATACTGAGAACATTTCCTTTAGAAACAGGTGCAAGGCAAGGGTGCCTGCATTTTCATTCAACATAGTTCTTGAAGTCTGAGTCAGAGCAATTAGGTAAGATGAAGAAATAAAAGGTATCCAAATTAGAAAAGAAGAAGCAAAATAATCTTCCTTTCGCAGACAACATGATTTTACATGTAGGGGAAAAAATAACCCTAAAGATTCCACATACAAAATAAAACTTTTTAAAAATAATAAATTCAGCAAAGTTTCAGGATATAAAATCAATAAAAAATATTCAGTTGTATTTCTATACACTAACAATAAGTTATATAAAAAGGATTCTAAAAATAATCTAATTTATAAAGCATAAAATAAATTTAATTAAGGAAAGACTTGTATGCTGAAAACAATAAAACATTGCTGGAAGAATGCTAAAGAAGACAGAAATGGAAAGATACACCATGTTATGACTTGAAGATTTAATATTATTTACATGTCAGTACTACCCAAAGTGATCTACATATTCAATGCAATTCCTCTCAGAATACCAATAATTTTTTTATAGAAATAGAAAAATCTATTCTGAAATTCATTTGGCATCTCAAGGGATCCTCAGTAGTCAAAACAATCTTTGAAAAAGAAGAACAACGTTGAGGATCTCACATTTCTTCTTTTCAAAACTTACAACAAAGCTACAGCAATTAAAGCAGTTTGGTACTGCCATAAAAATAAAAATGTAGACCAATGGATTATAATATAGATCCCAGAAGTAAACCCACACATATTTGTCCAACTGATTTTTGACAAGGATGCCAAGATCTATTAATGGAGAAAAGACAGTACATTTAACAAAGAGTGCTGGGAAAATGATATCTACATGCCAAAAAAAAAAAAAAAAATGAAGCTGGATTTTTACTTAACATCAGTCCCTCAAATCAACTCAAAATATATCAAAGACCTAATTTCAAAAGCCAAAACTATACAACTCTTAGAAGAAAACAGAAAAAAACTTCATGGCATTGGATTTGGCAATGATTTCTTGGATACAAGAACAAATGAACAGACAATATAAGAAAAAAATGGATAAACTGAACTACATCAAAATATAAAACTTCTGTGCATCAAGGAACACGATCAACAAAGTAAAAGGGCAATCCACACATTGGTAGAAAATATGTGAAAGTCATATATTTATATGTAGTTAGGGGCCAAAAATCCATAATATACAAAGAACTCAAAAAACTCAACAACAAAAACTGAGCAAAGAACCTGATTTAAAAAATGGGCAAAGGACTTGAAAAGATATTTCTCCAAAGAAGACCTACAAAGTCCAGTGATCAGATCAAAAGAGGCTCAGCACCACTAATTGCTAGGGATATGTAAATCAAAACCAAAATTAGATACCATATTAAACCCATTAGGATGGCCACTATAATAAAACAAAACAACAATTTTTTGCAAAGTAAAGGAGAAATTGGAGTCTTGTGCACTCTGGGTGGGAATATAAAATAGTGCAGCAACAATGAAAAACAATGTGTTCCCCCAAAATTAAAAATAGAATTACTTGATGATCCAGCAATTTCACTTCTGGGTATAGACTCAAAAGAATTAAAAGTAAGGTCTCAAAGAGGTATTAGCACAATTATGTTCATAGCAGTATTATTCACAACTGTTCAAACATAAAAGCAACTCAGATTGTCCATTGATAGATGAATGAATAAGCAAAATATGGTACACACACCCAATAGAAAATTATTCAACCTTGAAAAAGAACATTGACATATGCTACAACATGGATGAACCTTGAGGACACTATGCTAAGTGAAGCAAAGCAGTCTCTATAATACTATACAATTCTACTTATATGAGGCACTATGAACTAATCAGAATCTTAGAAAGTAGAATGACTATTGACAAGAACTGGGGGAGAGAAGAATGGAGAGAGTTATTGTTTACTGAGTGCAGTTTCATTTTTGCAGAATGAAAAGAATCGTAGAGATTAATGATGGTGCAGGTTGTACAACAAAGTAAATGTATTTATGACACTGACCTGTACATTTAAACATGGTAACAATGATAAATTTTGTGATATGTATGTCATCACAACTAAAAAAATTTAAAATTGAAAAAAAATATTTTAAAAGAATATATACTAAGGGGAAGAGAAAACCATAAATATAAAAACAACATCTTAGCCTAAGGATATAGATTTGGAAAGCATTTATTATGATAAATCATTGAAAATAATGCAAATTCCTTTCCTCTTAAAAAGCCTTAACTATATTCTAACTTCAATATCTTTAATTGCTTATATTCATTTTTCACTTAGTTATTTTGATAAATATAACTTTTGTTTAATGAAAGATATCTGTAAAATACTTTTAAAAATACCATTTTGGGATACTGACATACATACTTCTTATCTCTGATTTCAGAGTTCTTTGAATCTTCAGATTTGTGCGTATATGAAGGCATATTAAAATGTATATTTAAAATTTACTTAAAATATCTTGTTTCTAAATATTCTACATATTTGCATTAAATATTGTTTACTTATAACTTGATTCTTTAACAGTGGGGGTGGCTGTACTGAGAATTGAACCCAGAGGCACTTTAATACTGAGCTATTCCCAAGCCCTTTTTATTTTTTAAAAAAATTTAAGACAGGGTCTCCCTAAATTGCTTATTGCCGCTCTAACTTGCTAAAGCTGGTCTCAAACTTGCCATCCTCTTGCCTCAGCCTCCCAAGCTAATGGGATTACAGGCATGTGCCACCATGATTGTCTATAATTTAATTCTTGAGTTAATAAAAACATTATCAGTATGACATGAGATGTATAGCTAGCAAGCCTGATAAAAATTTAATTGTGTGAATTGATCAACATAGCTCTACAAGTTATGTAAGAATATTATGTTTAATGATTAGAGTAGGAAAAAAGAAGGCACTGAAATGTACTCATTTATATAACCTATAAGTTTGTTGTTATTTTCACACCACAAATGTATCCCTTAGAAATTTGGGACTAGTCAACCTTTAAGGAATAATCTTAAAAAATTCTGAGACAGTCATTTTTTACTTCTATATTCCAATAATGTCAATAAACTAACTTTCAAAATTACTGTAATTAGACTACACTGTAGGAATCTTTTTCGGAAAATGCAGTGAAGCTTAGTGGGGAGAGGAAACTTCTAAAAAAAGCAACCACTGATTTCTACAGACTCTGGTGTGTAACTGGTGTGAAATCTGATTTAAGCTGCCCTTCTAAGACAGAATAAAATCTGAGATGACCTTATCTTCTGAATTTCAATAGGCGAAGGTTTGTCTTCATCTTGGGAGGAGACAGAAATGTTTTCCTCTTCAAAGGGGCCTGAAGTAACTTCACTTTGAGATAGGGCAAAGCTATTGGAATTTTTATAAGATGAAGAATATCCAACTTTATGGAAGATAGGGGAAGTTTGAGAAAGACACTGTTGAGTCATACTTGGAGAATGACTGGTGCTGTGACTGTGAGACTTGAAATGAGGGGAGTCTTTTGACTCTTTACTTAAATGGTCACTTTCTTCAACAGCAATGGCAAATTTATTTGCTATAGAGGCAGAGGAATTAATAGTTGGAAGAGAAAAGAAAGATGCCATGTCTTGTTGAAGGGAGGCTCTGTCAGCAGTGTTACCATGGGGTGAAGAAATAGTTTTTGCTTCTAAATTGAAAAAGCTATATTCAGGCTTAGAGAAGCTTATACGTTTTTCTGTACCAGGATGACTTTGTCTTCTAGAAAAGATTTTAATTTCATTTGAGTTAAACTTCTCCCGACTTCTTGGTTGAGGATCAAAAAACATGTTAGTATTATAATAGGAAACTATACTGAGTTTAGGGGAAGAAAGACGTCTTCGGTATCTAAAGGCACCAAAATGGCCTGAAGATTTTGAATCATCTTCATCTTCTTGAGAATCAAAGTTAGCTCTACTTTGTCTCTGATAAAGGGAAAGATTGCTTTTTCTAAGTCTATCAGATAAAGATTGTCTTCTTGCATAGAGAATTGAATGAGTAGATGTATCTGATGGATGAGATAATTTTCTACTTCCTGTGGCTGAACTGACTTCATATGTTGCAGAAGGACGATATGTTTTAAGATTAAGAAATTTATGTTGTCGTAAAATAGAAGAGGCTTCATGATGCTGGGGGTGTGAAGTAACTTGATCTTCAGTACAATTTGGTTGGAAGTTCTGGTCCTCTTTGCAACAGCTAGAGTGAAAAAAGGGTCAAATGAGGAAAAAAAAATAGGGAGCAAAGTGGAGACCTGCCAAGCCTCCTGAGGAATAATATCCACCTTACCCAATAGGGAAACAATAGGGAATAAGAAAAATAAGGTAGCTGAAGTTGGTGGTCATACAGATGTACCCCAAAGAAGGCATGAGTAGATAGAAGACCACCTCTGTAAGTACCTGCCCACTTCTCCTAAAGCTTGGGGAAGGAAATTGAAAGACTCAGAGGAGAAGGTGGAAAGAAAGATAAAGGAGATCCATGAAAGGCCCCCAGGACTAAAGGATCCCCAGGAAGAAAAACAGAACTTATGTTTTTAAAAATAATAAATTACAACATCTGTTCAAGACTATTAAACTAGCATATTTAAAGAAGTAATATATTCTTATATCCTGTTTACTGATTTGTATTAAAAATATTAACTGTGGGAGAAGCAGAACCTCTCTGTAGAGGATGTTCCAACTAAATATAGAGACACTCCTGTTATTGTGGGAAACTAAAGCAAGCACTAACGCTTGTCTTATGAATATTTTCAATGTTCTTTAGCACACGAAGCATGAAACACATGGAGTGTTATGTTTGGTTTTATTTTGTTTTGTTTTTAAGGGCTTACCTTAAGCATTTTCCCATGTTAACTTTAATCCAAACTGTCTTCCCTTCCTTTCTAGATCATCATCTTTAAGCCATAAAATGCCTTGTGTAGGTGGAAAAAGTCAGAAGATGAATGCTTAAGCTGCATGTGAAACTAACATGGCAACAACACAGAATGTGATGACAGCAGACTCTAGAATTTAATGACATCAATGTAGAATAGAATTATTTTGTGGCTCACCTTTTTGAAAAGCTCCAATTTGTGTGGCTGTAGCATTCGTATTCTGAGTTCATTATGTTCAGAGTCTGCCAACAAATCAAGGGATGAAAAAGCAGCAGGATGGGGGCAATAACAAACATAGTATCGCCGAAATTCTTTCCTTGGAAGTGTCTCTCTCACCAGCAGCTGTCCACACCCTGGTTTAACTAATTTTTCTTTCACTTAAACATACTTTACAGCAGGATTTTACATACTTCAGTGAAATGAAAAATGACTATTAACAAACTTTGGTCTGAAGATATATTGAAAAGGGGAGGAAAGATTTAAAAAGTACCAAATGTCACTTCTGTCTCCCAAACGCAACAAGCTTCATCCACACTGATAGTAAAACATGTCATGTGATTGTCTGAGCCACATGCAAAGATTATGGAGAGGTGATGTGTCACTTTTATTATGCTTGAAACAATTTAATATTCATCTAATGGTGAAGTTAACAGAGTTAGTAGGAAAGGAACATTGTTAATTTTTTTTTCCAACCCAATTTGGAATACTGTCTCCATGATGTATTTATGTGCATACCTACTTGTGACATTAAACACCTCTCAAACACTTAATCACTGTTCAATATCCTGATACTGTACCCTCTGTTTCCTCCTACCTTTGTTCCCTAATAGCCTGCTTCAGAAACCCCTTGAACAAATTCCTTTTAAGAGGCCTAAAGTTCTTAATTGCTTAATTGTCTTACACAATTTTCAGATTTGTGATTTGATTTTACCCTACATACATACTAATAAATTAACACATTCAGTCCCATTGTCTATATATATATATATATATATATATATATATATATATATAAATTGAGCAACAAATATGCCATTTATGGTATCTCTGAGTTCTATTCTTTTGAGAAAAGTAAATAGGTGATGATTAGAGTGTTTGAAAATATTTTATACTTATAATGGCACAAACTTTACTGCACAAATTCCTTTTGCTAAATATTCAACTGAACAAAGGGACCAAGTACAGGGCATAGTCATTTGTAGTGTAGTGCACTGACGCCTGGCAAACTCTAACTTGTTACTTGTGACTTGTCTACAATGTTTTGACAAGTGAGAATGTGTTCAAGTGCTAACACTAGAAGAAACTGAGGAACTGCTGAATAAATATTCTGAAGATGAGAATATTGAAGCATCTGATACAGTAATAATTCTATCAGATGTAAATAATTTAACTGACAACAATAAAGCTGATGGGATAGTGAAACTGGTGAACCAATAGTGAAAGATATTCCATGTCCTCTTGAGTTATATATTGAAACATCTGACCTAGCTGCCAAAATAGAAGGTATGATGATAGTGAAGATGTTCATGTTACTGCTATTGATTCTTCTATCTGTCCTCAGGGAAAAAAGAAAATTGGCAGATATCACTAGGTAAAAAGTGAAAATTATACAAGTCAGTACCTGTTTGGCAATCAATAGCATCCAAAAACTTTAAATAATATTTAGAGAAAACACTTATTATGAATTCTCAGAAAAATTCTTGGAGTATTAAGCTTAGTGGAGATTTCTAAAGAAATATTGAAGCCCCAAATATACAATTATATTGTTAAAGAAACTGTATGCGCTTCTGCAAAACATAAGAATTAATTTGAAGTACTTAATGTAATAAGTTAAAACATTTTTAGGAATTGTTATGTTTTCAGGATAGCATAAATTACCCTCCACATGAAACTATTGGTCAATGTTGAAGATTTGGATATATCTATCATTAAAAATGAAATGTCAAGAAATCATTTGCTAACATATATTTTTTGCAGTATGAAGGACAAGAAAATATTTTGAAATTGATCCTCTAATAAATATGATTCAAAAGTCATTCATGAAACTTTGATATCTTTGAAGAACATTTGACAGAAGAAGCAATGATTATTAGACATTATAGACATAATTTGCTAAAACAGTTTATGAGGTAAGCCCATAAGATTTGGTTATAAATTCCAGGCACTGTGCAGAGTATTGGGATATTGCTATAACTTTGATTTGTATTGTGGAAAAAGTACTTAAGAAGGACTGTGCCATGATGACCTTTTGCATTGGGAATAAGGTAGTTTTATAAACGCTTTAAGTAATAAATAATCTACAATCAGACTGTGATCTTCAACAGTCTATTCACTGGCTATAATTTGTTGATAAAACTTTAGGAATTGAATCCCAGGCCACAGGCACCATGAGGGAAAACAGACTAAACAAATGTCCTCTGAAACTGACAACAGTAATGAAAATACAAGCAAGAGGGTCATATAATAACAGATTCAGCAAAAATAATGACATTTTCCTGTAAAGTGGCTGAATAATAAATATATCATCATTAGAACAAACTACCAGACTAAGGAACCACTTGGCAAAGTTCAACAATGGAAAAAATTAAAGAGCAGAGTCAATGTGTTTCAACCACAATGTATATCAATAGTGGTGTGGATCAACATGATGGCTGGGTTCCAAATATTCCATCTCTATAAAAGTAAGAGATGGTACTGGATATTTTCACTTGAATAATTAACATGTGTGTCATAAATGCATGGATTATTCACAAATTTTTGAACAAAGATAAGAAATATCTCATAAATTTGTTGGATTTCAAAAGTGATACCTGCTTGGCATACCTGGAATGATGCAATGAAAACCATCAGGAGAAAGAAAAGTTAATACTCCTAGACGTACTACTGCTAAGATGACATCTGATTTGACATGAGAAGCTATAATATTCTGAAATAGCAAGAGCAAGAATGATGTCAAAACAAGTCATGTCATGTAAAACTGGCAACAACTTATCAAAAATGTAACCTTTTGTTTGAAGTTTTTTGCTCATTTCCACCAAAATTAATTATTGAATAATCATTAAAGTCACTTCTTTTTATATTATGCAATGTATGAAAGGAATCATATTTGCCCAATGTCCTATTATAGGATAGTTTATATATATTGTTCCAGTGTCCTATTTATAGGACAATCCACATTTTTTATCTTAATGATAATAAAGCATATATAAGTTCTAGATTAGGATTTCCAACCTATTTTAATGCACCTATGTCAATTTCATTGAAATATTCACAGAACTGAAAACTTGGGACTTAATAGGTCAATCTCTTAAACAGAAGACATAAAATTCCTAGGTCAAAAACAGAAGGTTTATACTACTCATGGCACAGCAAGAAGCCTGACCAATTGATTATTTGTGTTGTGTGTTGGTCCTCCTTAGCTCCATATTGGCCACAGGGGCAATGTAGAGGGTCCTGAGAGAAAAAACAGTGAGTTTAGGTGATCCAACACTTTTATGGCTAGTAAGCAAATTGGCTTAATCTTCTTCAAGTCCTAGAGGAAAACATTCCCTCCTTCCTAAAGGTTTCTTTTCTCTGAAAAGTGGCCCAAATAAAGAATGGTCAGGGCTGTTCTTGGCAGACCTACAAAGATATATAGGAGTACAGGAAGCCCAAGAAATTCTGTCTCTTAGTGCAGCAATCTATTATTTTCCCCCAACTTTTTTGGGGGGCGGGGGTATGAGAATTAAACTCAGGGGCACTTAACCACTGAGCCACATCCCCAACCCTTCTTTTGTGTTTTATTTAGGGTCTCACTGAGTTGCTTAATGCCTCACTAAGTTGCCAAGGGTGGCTTTGAACTCACGAACCTCCTGCCTCAGCCTCCTGAGCCGCTGGGATTACAGGCCTGCACCACCAGGTTGACACTATTTTTTCTTTCTTGTAAGATTGTTACCTGTTTTTCTTCAGTCAGATGAGATCAGGTACATTCAGAATGGTATGGCTGAAGATTGCTCCTCAGTCATATTAAGATCTGTGGTTACCTTTTGCTAAAGGACTCCTTTTGAAGGATGTAAAATGGCAGGCTAGAGGGAGGCTGCATTCTGTGTCACTCATGGACTTGGGATTCAAGCAGTGGGAATAATGTTTCTCTTCGAGTGATTAGAGGACCCCGACAGCTGCTCCTGTGCAGGAAACACTGCCGCCACCATGCTGCACAGGTCTCTAGGCCTCAGCATCAGCACAGGACTCCAGGCCACACACCTACACAGGTCCTCCAGGTACCCAAGTAAGACCACCCGGCATTAGCACCTGCACAGGACTCCTGGATGCCCACCCCCACAGGAATCCCAATCACTGATCCCACGCAGGACACCCGGTCACCATTCCCGTGTGATCCCCATGTGGGACTCTTCTGGTCCCCTCCAACTTGGGACACTGCAACTACTGCACAGTCCCCTACTCGTGGCTACCTGCAACTGGGGTCACTGCACTGGGTACACAGACAGCCGCCAGCCACAATACTGAACGCCACAGAACTGCTTCTCTGTACAGGCTGCTCAACGTCACCGCCCGCCTAGCCCTACGTGACCCCCTACACCCCATTGCTTAAAGCAGCCACCTCCATCTTGAGACACCTTCCTCACCATCTTTAGTTAGACAACTCCCAGCTTGGAACACCAGCAGGGTGTTATTATCAAAGTACGGAAAGTCCCCAAATCCCACCTCTCCCTGGCAGCCACTAACCTGGCACAGTGCCTGTGGCTACAGGGCCAGTCTGTAGCTCACAAAACCGGGTCACAAACCTGGGTAGCAAAATCGCGTCCTGAGCTGCCCAATATAAAACAGCTCTGCACAATAGGTGTACAGCTCCCAGAGCGCACCCCTTAAAACCTCTAGAGAAAGGTTCCTTATTGGGAAGTGGAGAGGGAGAGGGTAAGTGAGATACAGTTTGGAGACTAAAATAGAGACCAGGAATTGTGAGGTCTACAGGCGATGTAAGGAGATAAGAGCAGGTGCCCACATCACAGGAAGAGGCCCCAAAAGAAATCCTTGGACCAACCCTCCCACCCTAATAACCGTCACCATCCTGAGGTTAGAGATAGCAGCAAACAACAGACAACCCCACCTATTGGATGAGAAGGAAAGCTGGAAAAATACTGATCTCCAACCAAAACAATACTTGTGTCTTCCTTTGAGATTTTTTTTCTCTCTCTTCTCCTGCCATCACATTCCCCAACATTTGTGAAACCAAGTGCTTTACATGAATTAGGCTACTAAGGACTGGGATGTCTGAATAGTATATTACAGTGGTGTTGTATAGTCTTTTATCTCCTATTTTTACATATTTTACTTTTCTTAATATATATGTTTGTTTGGTTTTTGTACTCTACTGTCTTGCCACTTACTTGTCTCCCCAAAATCACTTTTTCTCTCTTCTCCTGCCACTGACCAACTTATTTATATTCCTCTTCCATGCTTTCTAAAATAGAAAAACTCTATATCCTCACCTCCTACACCCTCAATATCTCATCCTACACCTCACCCAATTCTTTGTTCATAATCAGAAACTGTAGACTCTTTTGCAAACCTACTGTTTATATTGTAGATAATAATTGAATGTACTATTTCTGTATATTGTGACAAAACCATAAACATCTTAATAGCAGCTATTTGGTTTAATGTTGTATATTGTTTGTATTGGGATTTGTTCACATTGTTCTCCCCCTTAAAGGAGAGGTATTGGAAACCTGTACCGACACTATTAGCCTATGGGGTAAAAACTGTAATGCCTCAGATCTGCAGTGTTAGAAGGGAAGACACACACAAACAACATGAAAACAAAAACAAAAACAAGGGAACAGGGCTGGGGATACAGCTCAGTTGGTAGAGTGCTTGCCTCGAATTCACAAGGCCCTGGGTTCAATCCTCAGCACCACAGGGGGAAAAAAAAGTGCCCCAACAAACCAAGATAATACATTATTAGAATCCATGACCAGCAAAATAGAAGAAATGGCAGAGAAGGATTTCAGGATGTACATAATTAAAATGTTCTGTAAATTAAAGGATTATATAAGAGAGCAAATACAGGCTGCAAAAGATCATTTCAATAGAGAGCTACATAAGCAAATACAGGAAGCAAAAGATTACTTCAATAAGGAGATAGAGGTTCTAAAAAAAACAAACAGAAATCCTTTAAATGAAAGAAACAATAAACCAAATTAAAAGTTCAATAGAAAGCATCACCAACAAATTAAATCACTTGGAAGACAGGACCTCAAACAATGAAGACAAAATATATAATCTTGAAAAGAATGTTAACCACACAGTGAAGATGGTAAGAAACCATGAGCAGAATATTCAAGAATTATGGGATAACATAAAAAAGACCAAATTTAAGAATTATTGAGATAGAGGAAGGCATAAAGTTCCAAACTAAAGGAATGAACAATCTATTCAATGAAATAATATCAGAAAATTTTTCAAACATGAAGAATGAATTGGAAAATCAAATACGAGAGGCTTACAGGACACCAAATGTAAAAATCACAACAGATCCAAAACAAGGCACATTATAATGAAAATGCCTAGCATACAGAATAAGGAGAGAATCTTAAAAGCTGCAAGAGAGAGGAGTCAGATCACTTATAGAGGGAGACCAATACGTATCTCAGCAGATTTTTCAACCCAGACCCTCAAAGCCAGGAGATCATGGAACAACATATATCAAGCTCTGAAAGAAAATGCATGCCAACAAAAAATCTATATCCAGCAAAATTAAGCTTTAGATTTGCTGATGAAATTAAAACCTTTCATGATAAACAAAAGTTAAAAGAATTTACAACTAGATAGCCTGCACTACAGAACATCCTCAGCAAAATATTCCATGAGGAAGAAACAAAAACAACAATGAAAATCAGCAAAGGGAGGTATTACACTAAAGGAAATACTAATCAAAGAAGAAACCAAGTCAAGTTAAATACCAAAAGTAAACAAATATGACTGGGAATACAAATTATGTCTCAATAATAATAACCCTGAATGTTAATGGCCTAAACTCACCAATCAAAAGGCATAGACTAGGAGATTGGATTTTAAAAAGTACCAACAATATGCTGCCTTCAAGAGACTCATCAAGGGAAAAGACATTCACAGACTGAAGATGTAAGGTTGGAAGAAAACATATCACTCACATGGACTGTAGAAGCAAGCAGGTGTTTCTTTTTCATCCTCATATCAAATAAAGTAGAATTCAAGACAAAGTTAATCAAAAGGGATACTGCTTAAGGGAACCATACATCAACAAAATAAAACAATTATAAATATATATGTCCAAACAATGGAGAATCTACATTCATCAAACAAACTCTTCTCAAGTTCAAGAGTCAACTAGACCACAACACAATAATTCTGGGTGACTTTAACACACCTCTTTCATCACTGAATAGATCTTCCAAACAAAAGCTAAACAAAGAAACTATAGAACCCAACAATCCAATCAATAACTTAGACTTAACAGACATATATAGAATATTTCATCCATAAATTATTGAATACACTTTCTTTTCAGCAGCACATGGATACTTCTCTAAAATTCACCATATATTTTGCCACAAAGCAACTCTTAGCAAATACAAAAAGTAGAGATACTACGCTGCATTCTATCAGATCATAATGGAATGAAATTAGAAATCAATGAAAAAATAAAAAATAGAAGCTACTCAAACACCTGGAGACTAAATTATATGCTACTGAATGAACAACAGGTTGCAAAAGACATCAAAGAAGAGATTAAAAAATTCTTAGAGGTAAATGAGAACACTGATAACAGCATAACAAAATCTCTGGGACACTATGAAGGCAAGACTAAGAGGAAAGTTCATTGCGTGGAGAAGAAAAAAAATCAACAAATAAATGACCTAACATTACATCTCAAAGCCCTAGAAAAGGAAAAACAAATCAATACCAAAAGCAGTAGAAGACAGGAAATAATTAAAATCAGAACTGAAATCAAATAAATTGAAACAAAAGGAACAATCGAAAAAAATTGACAAAAAAAAGTTAGTTCTTTTGAATAGATAAATAAAATTGATAAACCTTTAGCCATGCTAAATGAAGAGAAGGAGAGAGAAAACTCAAATTACTGACATCTGTGATGAAAAGAAGGAAATATGACAGATACTATGGAAATACAGAAAATAATTAGAAATTATTTTGAAAATTTGTTTTTTTTTAACTTTTTATTGTTGGTCGTTCAAAACATTACGTAGTGCTTGATACATCATATTTCACACTTTGATTCAAGTGGGTTATGAGCTCCCATTTTTACCCCGTATACAGATTGCAGAATCACATCAGTTACACACCCATTGATTTACATATTGCCATACTAGTGTCTGTTGTGTTCTGCTGCCTTTCCTATCCTCTACTATCCCCCCTCCCCTCCCCTCCCCTCCCCTCTTCTCTCTCTACCCCCTCTACTGTCATTCATTTCTCCCCCTTGTATTATTTTTCCCTTTCCCCTCACTTCCTCTTGTATGTAATTTTGTATAACTCTGAGGGTCTCCTTCCATTTCCATGCAATTTCCCTTCTCTCTCCCTTTCCCTCCCACCTCTCATCCCTGCTTAATGTTAATCTTCTTCTCATGCTCTTCCTCCCTACTCTATTCTTAGTTACTCTCCTTATATCAAAGAAGACATTTGGCATTTGTTTTTTAGGGATTGGCTAGCTTCACTTAGCATAATCTGCTCTAATGCCATCCATTTCCCTGCAAATTCTATGATTTTGTCATTTTTTTAATGCAGAGTAATGCTCCATTGTGTATAAATGCCACATTTTTTTTTATCCATTCGTCTATTGAAGGGCATCTAGGTTGGTTCCACAGTCTTGCTATTGTGAATTATGCTGCTATGAACATCGATGTAGCAGTGTCCCTGTAGCATGCTCTTTTTAGGTCTTTAGGGAATAGTCCGAGAAGGGGAATAGCTGGGTCAAATGGTGGTTCCATTCCCAGCATTCCAAGAAATCTCCATACTGCTTTCCAAATTGGCTGCACCAATTTGCAGTCCCACCAGCAATGTACAAGTGTACCCTTTTCCCCACATCCTCGCCAGCACTTGTTGTTGTTTGACTTCATAATGGCTGCCAATCTAACTGGAGTGAGATGGTATCTTAGGGTGGTTTTGATTTGCATTTCTCTGACTGCTAGAGATGGTGAGCATTTTTTCATGTACTTGTTGATTGATTGTATGTCCTCCTCTGAGAAGTGTCTGTTCAGGTCCTTGGCCCATTTGTTGATTGGGTTGTTTGTTCTCTTATTGTCTAATTTTTTGAGTTCTTTGTATACTCTGGATATTAGGGCTCTATCTGAAGTGTGAGGAGTAAAGATTTGTTCCCAGGATGTAGGCTCCCTATTTACCTCTCTTATTATTTCTTTTGCTGAGAAAAAACTTTTTAGTTTGAGTAAGTCCCATTTGTTGATTCTAGTTACTAACTCTTGTGCTACGGGTGTCCTATTGAGGAATTTGGAGCCAGACCCCACAGTATGTAGATCGGAGCCAACTTTTTCTTCTATCAGACGGCGTGTCTCTGATTTGATATCAAGCTCCTTGATCCATTTTGAGTTAACTTTTGTGCATGGCGAGAGAAAGGGATTCAGTTTCATTTTGTTGCATATGGATTTCCAGTTTTCCCAGCACCATTTGTTGAAGATGCTATCCTTCCTCCATTGCATGCTTTTAGCCCCTTTATCAAATATAAGATAGTTGTAGTTTTGTGGATTGGTTTCTGTGTCCTCTATTCTGTACCATTGGTCCACCCGCCTGTTTTGGTACCAGTACCATGCTGTTTTGTTACTATTGCTCTGTAGTATAGTTTGAAGTCTGGTATCGCTATACCGCCTGATTCACACTTCCTGCTTAGCATTGTTTTTGCTATTCTAGGTCTTTTATTTTTCCATATGAGTTTCATGATTGCTTTCTCTATTTCTACAAGAAATGCCGTTGGGATTTTGATTGGCATTGCATTAAACCTATAGACAACTTTTGGTAATATCGCCATTTTGATGATGTTAGTTCTGCCTATCCATGAACAGGGTATATTTTTCCATCTTCTAAGATCTTCTTCTATTTCTCTCTTTAGGGTTCTGTAGTTTTCATTGTATAAGTCTTTCACCTCTTTTGTTAGGTTGATTCCCAAGTATTTTTTTTTTTTTTGAGGATATTGTGAATGGAGTGGTTGTCCTCATTTCCATTTCAGAGGATTTGTCGCTGATATACAGGAATGCCTTTGATTTATGTGTGTTGATTTTATATCCTGCCACTTTGCTGAATTCATTTATTAGCTCTAATAGTTTCTTTGTAGACCCTTTTGGGTCTGCTAGGTATAGAATCATGTCTTCTGCAAATAGTGATAATTTAAGTTCTTCTTTTCCTATTTTGATGCCTTTAATTTCTTTCGTCTAATTGCTCTGCCAGTGTTTCGAGAACTATGTTGAACAGAAGTGGTGAGAGAGGGCATCCCTGTCTTGTTCCAGATTTTAGAGGGAATGCCTTCAATTTTTCTCCATTCAGAATGATGCTAGCCTGAGGCTTAGCATAAATTGCTTTTACAATATTGAGGTATGTTCCTGTTATCCCTAGTTTTTCTAGAGTTTTGAACATAAAGGGTGCTGTACTTTGTCGAATGCTTTTTCCGCATCTATCAAGATGATCATATGGTTCTTATTTTTAAGTCTATTGATGTGGTGAATAACATTTATTCATTTCCGTATATTGAACCAGCCTTGCATCCCAGGGATGAATCCTACTTGATCATGGTGCACAATTTTTTTGATATGTTTTTGTATCCGATTCGCCAGAATTTTATTGAGGATTTTTGCATCTAGGTTCATTAGAGATATTGGTCTGTAGTTTTCTTTCTTTGAAGTGTCTTTGTCTGGTTTAGGAATCAGGGTGATGTTGGCCTCGTAGAATGAATTTGGAAGTTCTCCCTCTTTTTCTATTTCCTGAAATAGCTTGAAAAGTATTGGTATTAGTTCCTCTTTAAAGGTTTTGTAAAACTCTGCTGTATACCCATCCGGTCCTGGGCTTTTCTTAGTTGGTAGTCTTTTGATGGTTTCTTCTATTTCCTCAGTTGATATTGGTCTGTTTAGGTTGTCTATATCCTCCTGACTCAATCTGGGCAGATCATATGATTTAAGAAATTTATCGATGCCTTCACTATCTTCTATTTTATTGGAGTATAAGGATTCAAAATAATTTCTGATTATCTTCTGTATTTCTGAAGTGTCTGTTGTGATAATGCCTTTTTCATCCCATATGCTAGTAATTTGAGTTCTCTCTCTTCTTCTCTTCATTAGCATGGCTAAGGGTCTGTCGATTTTATTTATTTTTTCAAAGAACCAATTTTAGTTTTGGCAATTTTTTCAATTGTTTCTTTTGTTTCGATTTCATTAATTTCAGCTCTGATTTTAATTATTTCTTGCCTTCTACTTCTTTTGCTGTTGTTTTGCTCTTCTTTTTCAAGGATTTTGAGATGAAGTATGAGATCATTTATTTGTTGGTTTTTTCTTTTTTTAAGGAATGAACTCCAAGCAATGAATTTTCCTCTTAGAACTGCTTTCAATGTGTCCCATAGATTCCGATATGTTGTGTCTGTGTTTTCATTTATCTCTAAGAATTTTTTAATTTCCTCCTTGATGTCTTCTATAACCCATTGATCATTCAGTAACCTATTGTTCATTCTCCAAGTGATGCATGATTTTTCCTTCCTTCTTTTATCGTTGATTTTCAGTTTCATTCCATTATGATCAGATAAGATGCATGGTATTATCTCTACTCCTTTATATTGTCTAAGAGTTGCCCTGTGACATAATATATGATCTATTTTTGAGAAGGATCCATGTGCTGCTGAGAAAAAAGTGTAACTGCTTGATGTTGGTGGTATATTCTATATATGTCAATTAAGTCTAGGTTATTAATTGTGTTATTGAGTTCTACAGTTTCCTTATTCAACTTTTGTTTGGAAGGTCTGTCCAGTGGTGAGAGAGGTGTGTTGAAGTCTCCCATGATTATTGTATGGTGGTCTATTAGACTCTTGAACTTGAGAAGAGTTTGTTTGATGAACATAGCTGCACCATTGTTTGGGGCATATATATTTATGATTGCTATGTCTTGTTGGTGTATGGTTCCCTTGAGCAGTATGTAGTGTCCCTCTTTATCCCTTTTGATTAACTTTGGCTTGAAATCTATTTTATTTGATATGAGTATGGACACTCCTGCTTGTTTCCGAAGTCCATATGAGTGATATGATTTTTCCCAACCTTTCACCTTCAGCCTATGTATGTCTTTTCCTATCAAATGTGTCTCCTGTAGGCAGCATATTGTTGGGTCTCGTTTTGTGATCCATTCTACTAGCCTGTGTCTCTTAATTGGTGAGTTTAAGCCATTAACATTTAGGGTTATTATTGAGATATGGGTTGTTCTTCCAGCCATATTTGTTTATTTCTGTTACTAAACATGGTTTGTTTTCCTCTTTGATTATTTTTCCCCCCTTTAGTGTCCTACCTCCCACTGTTGGTTTTCATTGTTATTTTCCATATCCTCTTCCTGTAATGTTTTGCCAAGGATGTTTTGAAGATATGGTTTTCTAGCTGCAAATTCTTTTAACTTTTGTTTATCGTGGAAGGTTTTAATTTCATCTTCCATCCTGAAGCTTAATTTCGCTGGATACACAATTCTTGATTGGAACCCATTTTCTTTCAGTGTTTGAAATATGTTATTCCAGGATCTTCTAGCTTTCAGAGTCTGTGTTGAAAGATCAGCTGTTATCCTGATTGGTTTACCCCTAAATGTAATCTGCTTCCTTTCTCTTGTAGCTTTTAAAATTCTCTCCTTATTCTGTATGTTGGGCATCTTCATTATAATGTGTCTAGGTGTGGATCTCTTATGATTTTGCACATTCGGCGTCCTGTAGGCTTCTAGGATTTGGGATTCTGTCTCATTCTTCAAGTCTGGGAAGTTTTCTCGTATTATTTCACTGAATAGATTGCTCATTCCTTTGGTTTGGAACTCTATACCT